TAAACGTAACATGAAACTACTGTACTGTAGTATATTCTTAATAAAACAAACTGCTCTAATGCAATGTTTGACTGCGATACCTTGAAGGTGTCGCTTAACGTAACATGAAACTACTTTATGTCAATTAAAGTTGAAACTTTTTTGACCAAAGCTCCTCATGGTGGGGATAGTGACAATGATGATGGTGATGATGATATTGTTTATGGTGATGATGGTGATAACAAGGGCGATGATGGTAATGGCAGTGATAATAATGGTGATGACTTTGTTGATGATATGTTTAATGGTGATGATGATGGTGACGATGATGATAATAATGGTGATGGTGGTGGTGGTGATAATGATATCGTTAATGGTGATGATGATTTTGATCATGGAATTGGTTAAACAAGCGTGGGATTTGAAAAGGCCATTGCCCTACCTCCACCCAATCTACTCCCTTAATTCCCAGTTCCATCCATGGCACTCAACCAGTTTACCTATTCAAAGTAGTGGGTAACCCGGGGAGGGGGAATTAAAAGGGTTATCAATTTTTCATAGGTCTGTCTTTTCCCCTTCCAAAAACATGGGGCTGTGATTCATCGTGGTTGCTACAACACACATAATTTCCAAATGTATTACGACTATTTTTCGAGTGCAATTACAGAGCGATAATACATGTTTATTGGGTAATCTTAGAATTTTTGAAGAATGTCAATGTGTGCCATTAATGATTAGCCTGCATTCAGCCGGTATAATTTCCTCGAAATAATAATTATTTTCAAGGAATTTATACCGGCTGAACGCAGGCTATCAATGATCCATTAAATTCCAAATAATGTTTGTATCGTTAAATGGTGTGCTTACTTTACTTGATCATTGGTATATTTTGACATTAAAACGAGGCTAACCCTGAGTAAATTAGCCTGTAATCATGGAGCGCAGCAGTATTGCACCTACCTGTTTAACATCAACATGGACTGTTCCTTTGCGTTTTTGACCAGTAACGTAAAACCTCACCCTCATGTAGTTTTCGCCATCGACTATGTATTCTTGGTAACTAAAACCAGATATAGAAATAATGCGTAAAAAGGTAGTTGCATATTTCAAGAGGTGAGGGGGAGGGAGCAACATGGTACAGGAACATTCCACATGAGAAATGTAAATGTAAACTTTATTTGACCAGGGTGGCCCATTCAGCAACGAGGCTGGTATCCAGAGGGGCACTGCAGTGAGACAGGAAAGGACATCAAGTGAAACCAGGCAATAACAAAAATTAAAGACTTTTAAAAGAAAAACTCTTGTTATTTTTCCTACAAGTTTTTTTTACAGACTCAATAGAGTGCAACACTCAAAAATATGACCACATCCTTAATGTATTCCAATACTTTTGTACACAGGCTTTTGTAAGTTAAACCCAAACATTACAATGTGAAGCTGGCTGGTTTTACCTAATAAGGCGTGTAAAAGCTTAATATTTCTTACCCATTATTGGCCTGTGCATTGATCAAGTATGTGAATATATTAAATGTGGTTATACTTTTGTGTAATGCACTCTAAGCTTAATAATAATAATAATAATAATAATAATAATAATAATAATAATAATAATAAATATTTATATAGTGCCTATCCAAATCTGCTCTAGGCACTTTAAACAAAAAGAAAAACCACAAACTATGGCTGTGAGCTTTGCTTGGTGCCTGTGGCTGCTGCTACACAACCCATACCACAGGAAAAAAATAATAAATAAATAAATGATATGAAAATAAAATAAATAAACGCACACGCACGATGAAACCACGACTAAAGGTCAGACTGTTGTATCGGGTAACAATCCCCTACTCTTACAAAAAATACGACAGGATCTTTTACGTCCACTTTATCGGGGGTCAAGTGCAAGCAGACTGGACCTCCGGTTTTACGTCATTATCCGAGAAGACGCTTGCTTGATTGATGGCTGTTGGCTCCTACGAGCTCCTCCACCCTTTGACAGGTCTTATTTTTAATCCTGCTGGGTGTCAAGCCACCCTCCTCACTGGATAGCCAGTGGGGGAGCCGGTTTAGACGCCGACGACCCGTCCATGTGGCAGGTAGTACTGGACAGAAATGCTTTTAAATGGATATACCGGCTGTACCTGACATGTCGCCTTCGACCTCTACGATTAGTTTCACCATGTCCCATAACTGGTTCTCCAAGTTCCTCAACAAGCTGGAAAAATAATGAAAGCCAATACACTCATTTGCAATTAATCTAATTTTATTACATTTTAATATGTGATCATCAATGAAATTTTTCTTTATCACATGACGATATAATGATATCTTCACATGTGAAAATAACACCATTGGTAAGAATTCTAAGGAATCACATGAAATAGTAAAGATCCACCAAAATGGTATTTCATCAATAATAATTTATTATATATTAAAAAGAATATTACATGGCTGCTTAGAAATATGGACATTATCTTCTTGTGTTGAGGATATCTTACTCCTTTGCTTTGATTGATTGATTGATTGATTGATTGAAGACTTTATTTAATGAGGGCGACACTTGACAGTTTTGTTAACTGATTAACTTGTGGCCCTCGAGTTTTTGAGCACGGGCACTGAAGATGGTCATCACCAGCGTATTCAGTGGATCTTTTATGTCCGCCTTATACAGGGTTATATAGTGAAGATAGACAGGGCCTAGGGTTTTAAGTCCTTGTCCGAGAAGACTTGAAGGTCTAACCATTTACAGATATAATTACAAAGACAGCACCTTCTCCTCAGCTATTTTAAGACCCTGAGTGTTGGTCCGGCCGAGGCTTGAACCATGAACTGAGCTAACCGGGTGGCAGTTTATAATCTGCACTCACTCGTAAGATATAATCATGACTTCAACACTTGAAGATAAAATCTGTGTTTCCATGCGGCCATGTAATATCCATAGTATCACATTGAAAGTGACAGAACCTTCATTCCATTTGATGCACTTGTGCTATAAAAATTATAATACGCCATATATGGTAAACAAAGAAAAGCAGTAACCTTTTTATGCATTCAGTTGTACGTCCTACATGTATAACTGTAATTATAATAAACGTGTGAGGAAAATGAAAATTTTTCTTTTAATTTTTGATCCTGGAACAAGCTTGAGGGCCACAGGCTATTAAATGCTATCCTCAAAAAATAACAATTATTCATTCATTCATTCATTCATTCATTTGTTCATTAATTGACTGATCAACCAATTCAATCTATCAATCAATCAATCAATCAATGGCCATGGGCTATAACACCATGCGTGCTATGCACTATGAGCATACATTTCTCTGCAAAACTGTTTTTTCAAAATTTCACTAATTCGTTATTTTTAGGGCAAAATATAATCCTAACGAAACTTTGCAGTTTTACTATAATTATTGTTGTGACAAATTTGAAAGTAAAATTCCTTTTTACTAATAAATCAAATATCTCATAATGTCACACTAGCGTGAAGAGTCAATTATAAGTGTTAACCTCGAAAAAATATCAATAAATTTACATGTTATATTTATGAGTCTATTTATTTATTGGGTGTTAATGGTATGTCATGTACCTCTCTGTTGGCCAAGACCTGTTTTAAAGCATATGCATAAACTTTGTTAGGACTGAAACCAAGGAAGAGCTCACTGAACACATACCATAGCAGAGCACCTAGAAAATAATATGCAAACAGTGAAAGTATCTAAAAAAATCACTTATCACCAGTGCAAGTACATGTACAGCAGTGGCAAAGTTCAATGGGGTCAAACTTCCCCTCCTAATAGTCCCTTTTCTCATTCGGTATAAATAGCACTGTGTTTTATGACTAAAGATTCATCTGTACAGGTTTATAGCCTCTAGCAAATCATTTGCAAAAGTCAACTGTAATATAAAGAATGTGCAGCTTAATGGTATCTGTTAATAGCCGAATTATAAACAAGGCTAAGCCTACGCTAATGAATCTATGGTCTTCAAAAACAGTGGTGTCCATCAAATGCAAAACAGCTGTATAGACTAAATGCAAATTTGACTTGAACACTTCTTAAGTCCATTCAAATTATAGATTAC